CTGCTTGAACAATGCAGACGTGTCAAAGGCACCATTGCATTAAACTACTGCTGTTTGATGGACAACCACTACAATAGACTTGATGGGTAAAGATGGACTCATGGAATACGATCTACTAGCTGTTTCTGCCATCTGGTATTTTCAGTGGCAATTTCCTGGCTGTGGAACTTCTCACCCTGAACAGTTAATCTCCCCTCTTTGCCCTTCCTATGGTCCTTCTGCATGCAGACAAAGGCCTTTTTCATTCAGGGGAGCTTTTGGCTGGGGAGCCTGTAGTCTGGGCAGAGCGTGAACTTCACCCCAAACTAAGACCACAATCCACCAGCACTATCAGGTTAGTTGTAATGTGAGGACAATCTGGCTACAACATCTGTCTCTCCACTGATCACCAGGGTTGATTCAACTGATCTAGCAAGTGCTGTATTTTATCCATTTCCTTTATTTTCTTAATTGCTGTGTTTAAAATACTGTCTTTTAATTCACATGCAATTTAATATTTGAAATTGTTTGATATTTTGACTTGTATCTTTTAATTCAAATTTTCTTGTGAGTCGTATACCCTTGACCGAAGAATGGTACACTCCTTCTATCTGGGATGGTTGTCCTCTTCCACCGAGCATCCAGCTTCGGGAGGGACACACATGGAGCGGTGAGGGAGGAAGGGGACACCCGTCTAGCCAGCCAGATTGGCCGAATCAACCCTGGCGATCAATGTGGTGACAGATGTCGCAGCCAGATCACCCTCACATCCACTTCAGTCTCTTCAGGAAAGTGGCAGGATCTAGATTACATCCATCTGTCCGCCTGTCCATCCATGCATACATGCTCAACCCTGAACAAGATTACTTGGAAAGGTGATAGAATCATTGAGCCCTAAGCAAGCAATCCAAGATCCCACCCCAAAGAAGAGAAACAGAGCAAATGAGACTGAAATAGATGAGTTGTAGCTTCTACTCTTGGAGGGGAGGACAACCCACCACCAAGAAATTCAACCCCCCATCCCATGTGAACATGTGCATTCACTCCCTCTTTAAAATCACCCAAACACTATGTTGGTAAATTTGTTCTCAGTCCTAGATGCAAGTTTTGAGTGCCTGCCTTAGATTATGATGTTCCTTTTGGAATGATAAGAACGCTTTGGGTGGTGAATTATTGCTACTATTAATAAGACAATTTTGGCTTCATATTTTCCAGCTGTATTTCACAAACCATGCCCTTTCTGCTGCTTGAGATCTTTATAGAAACAACATTAATAAAACAACTGCAGATATAATGGTACAGCTGCTAAGGCAATCACCTCAGAATATATAGTAAATGAAAATTACATTATACTATAGGAGTGTCTTGTGTCTCTGTGGCATGGCTTTTGAGAAGCTGGAAGGCAGGTATTAAATTTACTGTTATTTTTGTCATTTATTTGTCACTTGTCTTCCCTTGCTGTCTTATCACTACAGTCTGATTTATTAAGTGCAAGAGAATTTACTTCTGAGTAATTCTGCAAAGGATGATGCTATGTGTGGTTTACATAAAAGCACACAGCTCTGTGACAGACAGTCTTAGTCTGTAACTGAGTTGTTCCCTCAGACTGCTCACCTGAATGAAGAACTTGCTCTTTATTACTTCTGAAATGCTGGGAGGTAGGTGTCAGATTCTTTCCTTAGAATGGAGCTATGGTTATTGCTTTATTTTTATTGCAAAGAGCTGTCAGGTCAGCATTCCCTGATTCCTTGAGATTTCAGGTCAAAAGATAAAACCAGGGAAAAGTCTTCAGGATATTACAAAGGCAGGACAGGTTAGCTTGAGAGGGGGCTGGAACTACTTCTGGGGCAGCTGCCCATGGAAATGAGTCCGGGGGGAATTCTGGGTAAATGGGTCCAGGAACCAGGGGTGGGGTGGGGACAGCTAATGAGGTACGTATGGGCAGAGCTATAACAAGCAATTTTGACACCTCATGCAAGCCACACAAAATGGCTTCCATGGGGACTTATTTCTGTACAAACAGACATCGGATCATGGAGTGTATTTTCCTTTGTTCCTGCAATAGCCATGTTTCCTAGCGAACCCTGGGAGATGTAGGATATAAAATAATCACTTATCACAACCTGGACCTCAGGGTCTTGTAAACATGTTTATATATGAGAATTTCCTCTGTCAATTCTGGGTGCTTTTAGAAAGCTTGTTTGTGAAATTCAGGGTGGGGAAAAGAGTGCATGCAGTATGGCAGATTTAGCAAAGGGGGAAAGGGATGTGGATGTGATGATGCAGGAAATTTGGATGTAGGCGAGAAAATGCTGTGTGTGGAGGAGGAGAGAAATCCCCAGAGGAACATGCATACATGAGCTGTACTTTCATGGAAGTATCTGGAGGATACCAGGAAAAAGTGTGGCAGTAGAAAGTTTTTGGTAAGGAAGGGATATGTGGGGTGCCTCTGATGGAGGGTGCAAAGGAGAGGTAGTGGTGGACTGAGGATCAAGGTTGCATCCCAGGTGGATGCTTCATTGAGATCATCCTGGGTCCTCGACAAAAACCAGTAGGAGACAAACCGAGGCAGCAACAAGAGTGCAGCCCTTCACTTGGCTTCTGATTACCTCAGAGTCCTGTAAATCTGAGCTGAGTGAAAGAAGCAAGGATAGCAATGTCAAAGTTAGTATTTCTGATTTGTTTGTGCATTACAGCATAGTCATACCTATCCACCCTTCCTGGTCTTGGCCCCTTCTCACCTCAGAATGCTCTCCCATGTTGTGTCAGTGTTTAATAAGAAGACACAACACAATTCTGAATGCAAACCCTCTTGGCATCGTGCAGAGCTAGCTCATTTCCTTGGATGCTGGTTCCAAAAGAAGGCCCATCAAACCAAATCTTCATGGAAAGGGGTTATTCCGTGAAGTCACCTGCAATGTGAAGAAGAGCAGAACTGGTCATCTTGATCCTAGAAACCTCCTCTTGGAGTCAGCTTTCAAGAAAAGGGCCTGGCACTGCAGGGAAGTGCAGATATGGCACACTTATTTCTTTGATGGCAGCAACTCACCCTCATATTATAAAAACAGAGGGTGATTAACCAATCAGGGAAAGTACAGAGTGGGTGTAGTAAACGCGGGATGAATGTGTGTGAAGCTTTGGTCCTGGACAAAAAAATAATAGGTGAGCTTCAACTTTTTATGGGCATCGGAGGATGAGGACAAGACAGGGCAGCTGCTGGGCCCTCTAAATTTGGTGTTATAGACTGAACATGATGCTTCTGGAAGGCTCACAACCAGTCACCTGTGGAAAACTCACAACCAGCCGCCCCTTGGACCTTCCTCTGGATCACACAACAGTAAAACTCCTAAGTGACAATGCTGGCACCCCATTTCCTGCTTTGTTTCAACAGCCATTTGTTTTCCTTTCCGAAGATGTTGTTCAACAATATGCTTACATGGGAGCATTTGAAATCTTGATATTAAATGAATGAAGAAGTCTGCTTTTAAATACACTCAGAAACATAAGTAAAAAGAAATTCACCATTTTAGCTCTCTTCAGCTTCACCTTCCTTCCATCTGTATCATATTCCTTTTGCCCCTCAGGCTTCTCTGTGACTGCTGTGGAACATCTAAAATGGGACATTAACACTACTTAATTATGTAGCAGAAATAACGAAAGCCTAAAAAGAGCTGGAAGCATTATCAAAGTTGTGGTGTGTGGTGATACTTGTAAATTGCTTCAAACAGGTTTAGAGTGCCAGACTGCTGCTGATATATTTTATTCAGTGTGCAGTGTAGTGTGCAGAAGGAGGACATTTCTGGCTTACTGAAGAACAGCCAAAGTTTCTGATGATCTATAGAAATATAAAGCCCCAAGGAACTCAAAAGCACCGATTCACATCTGGAACATGCAGAACCCTTTTAACTGAAAAAAAAATATATTTTTATCATATTGACCAGATTCAGCAGATGCTCTTCCCTGATCTGGTTTTCAATATAATGTTCTCCAGGCCTTCACACAGTTTTGACTGTTAGTACTTAGCATTTATTTAATAAGTGTAATGCGCTAAACTGCATGCCAAGTGATACATCACACAGGGCCAGTTCCAATAGTAGAAAATCTTTCTATACAAAATGGCCAGAACAAGGGAGAATGACAAACCTGGTAGATTTCTGGTTATTGCGGCAACTGGGACACAGTCTCTCTGTGAAGTAGATTTGTTTGATTTGTTTTTTTCTTGGAAATGAATTTCATTAAGGAGGTTTCCTGAAAGTAACTATGATGTTTACCACATGGCCTCTGCTTGTTTCCCCAAACAAAGGGCTCACACTATGTCATCCCACCAGCAGATATCAATTGTGACGTTCTCTCTTTTCTTCACTGCCATGCAGCTGGGACACTATCTCCCTGAGTATCTCTCTCTCTCTCTGCAAATTCTCTCTCTTCGAAATCCCTCTGTCTTCTCTTCTGCCAAACCTTCTTATATCTGCTGCCTCCGCCCCTCCGCTCCTCTCATAGGCTCATGCAAATGAGATCCTGAATATGATTGACAGGAGTGACGTGGGGCAATCGTCACAGTAACTTACTTTAGTCAGACACTTGTCTGGTTACTACCAACAGAACTTATTTATTGAAGTGTATTAGCTTTAATCAGAATCACAAATGTTCTTTATTCAATGCATATCTTCCTACATACTTAATCACCACCTGCTCTATCTATTAATCTTGACAAGATTATCTCTATTAGTATTTCTCACTATCTCCCTGAGTATCTCTCTCTCTCTCTGCAAATTCTCTCTCTTCGAAATCCCTCTGTCTTCTCTTCTGCCAAACCTTCTTATATCTGCTGCCTCCGCCCCTCCGCTCCTCTCATAGGCTCATGCAAATGAGATCCTGAATATGATTGACAGGAGTGACGTGGGGCAATAGTCACAGTAACTTTCCAGATTCCTGTCCTTTGCCATCTCACCAACAACTCATCATAATGCAGTGCTTCCTGCTCCTGCTACGTTCACTCCATTTCATCCAATTTTTAAAACTCACAAATCACTGGTGAAAACAAGGAAACAGAACCTTCACTCTGATTTGGCTTTACATATTTACCACATGACTTCCCTTTCAGATCCTGCAAAGGTAACTTTTTCACACCATAACTCCCGGAATCCCTCAGCGAGTTTTGTGGGACCCCTCATGAACAGCTGAAAAGCCTCAATGTTTTTCTTTCTTTCTTTCAGTGTGTCCTTTCAGAGTAGTGAAAGCCTACAAGTCTCCAACAAGATTTCTACCAGTATGGAAGCACATTAGTCATATACTGCAGTATATGTTGTTGCTGTTCAGCAGCACTGAAATAACACGCTATCACCAGAACCATAGCTATTTTGAGTTTCATCTTCCCAAGCTGCACTAGAAGGTAACAAACATTAGTAGACTAACTATGTTACATTCAGCAAACAGTGATTTACTTTCATGAGGTGGTACTTAGAGGTAAACAACAATACTCAGTGAGTGGACAACAATATATGTTTTCTCTCAGAGACAGGAAAGTGGTTGGAAACCGAGGATCAGAAGAACAAAGAATATAGCCTTGAGAATGAGAAAATTAACATCAATCTGTTGTTTGTAATAGTCAACCATATGCTATTTGGGTGACATAATATAAGAAGCAGACCAAATATATATATTAAATAAAACATAGCAAATCATCTTTTAGATTATTTTTTTACTTATTTTCCTGATGTATTGTTGGGGACAGTGAAATATCATGGGTAGAGCAATTCACACAATTTTAGACAGTGTAAATTAATGTTTACCAATACAGAAGAGCTCTACTAGTGTAAGTGTGTGTGTGTGTGTGTGTGTGTGTGTTTGTGTGTGTGTGTGTGTAATGTATCTAGCCCAGAAGCCACAGTTCTGTGGAAAGTTACACAGGTACAGTGAGATGTGTGCTGATTTTTGCTTTTGGACTGCAGCTCCCCAAATTCCCCAGGCCGAACACCCTGGAGAATTCTAGGACTTTTAATCCAAAAATATGAATTTTCGTACCTCTAGATGAGTGGTTTGCTATCTTGAGTAACCCAGGTGTTCTTGGGTTGCGACTCCCGGAAAACTTTACCACCAGCTGTGTTGGCTGGGGTCCCTGGGCATTGCAGTCCAAGAACACCTGAGTTACCCAAAGTCGTGAACCACTGCTCTAGGTGTAACCATACCACTGGCAATGTACCTGCAGTGAGAGATCTGGAAACAAATATTCAGGGTGGAGACAGGGACAGGATGAAGACATCTTCGAAGTTTCTAGATTCTAGATTCAAAGCCCCTTCATTAAAGCAGGGTAGCCAAAGGATTGTCTGGTCATACCGGCCTGAAGTTGGTTAAATAATTCCTATACAGACACTGGAATCACTGACCTTGTGGTGCACAGGTTAAACTGCAGTAATGCAGTCACGACCCTGCTTAAGTTCAGTCTTTAGAGGCTCTAGTATTTGGCTCAAGGTTGACTCAGCCTTCCATCTTTCTGAGATCGGTAACAGTTTCAAGCTTGGTATCAGGATTCTCTTGCTTAGTGCAGCCATTTTTGTCAAGGATTTCCATCTTCTCTCCTCCCTTCTTGTCTCAGTGCCATTACATTCGTTTTTCACGAATTGAAGTTCAGTTCACGTTGTTGTGAACTGAACTTCATGATGATGCAAACTAACAGACTGAACATAAGGATCTTCCCAATTTTCCATACATACCTGTAAACATAACACCAATGTTAGAAGAATTTTAAAAGGAGAGTTCTAGAGAGGTAACACATACGATGGACATTTGGGTTTAAATTCTTGCATATCTATTCACAAGCAGATTCAGCTGTGTTCTGTTGTTTACTCTCTAATAAATGTGCTTAATGCTGAAGCCTAGGACTCTTTTAAAAAAATCCCCATTACTGTGTGTGGATTTGCATAAATCCAAGGCAATTATTATTGCTGTTATTGTTATTTTAAAAAGACTAATAAAATCACCACCCTCTCTGTATATATCTCTATACTGTACTTTTTCCCGGTGGGGGGGAGAGAAAGGAAACATTTTAAAGGTTGCAAAATCATGTTTTAAAAAAGTCTCTTTATTCAACTATATTTGAAAGAAAAACACATTTGATCCCATTTAGACAATTAAAAACTGTGCACGTACAGCTGTCAACTACTTAATTTATGATGGACTAAGTGTAAAAAATTGTCTTTTCAGTGACTGTGAATTAAAATGTAGTCAACAATTGCTCCTATTACCCAATGGGTAGCACTTTAATAAGCAGGCAATCAATCTTCGGAGGGTGGCTTTGGCATAATAATGGTGCCAACTACTACAGAATGCTGGCTTGTACCAGATCAAACCATTTGCCATTCTTGCCCAACCAATGCCTACTTCCCCTGGAATTAGCTCTCCAGGTGATGTCTTTCCTTAGTATAAAGCATGTATGCATTTTTTCCTCCAGCGCTATGCAAATCCACTCCAATATTATCAACCCATCTTACATCTCACTTTGTATGATGAACATGTTCAGAGACATGCTGCAGAGTTAAACCCCGTTTCTGAGTTTAACTGGGTTTTGAAGTGTTGCTCAGCAGCAACACTTCAAAAACAATTTCAGTGGTTTGGTGCTTGCAAAAGTGTGATTGGAGGAAAGAATTCAAGAAATAACACAGACAAGTGGAATACACAGATGATGGTTACAACTTGATTTCTAATATAGGATTACACTAAGAAAAGGAGAGGCAGACTGTAAATCACCAAGCTGTTGTGTTGATGTTACATTAATTCTTTTTTTTTAAAAAAAACTGTTGTTGATCTTCTCTCATGGCATAGGGGCTCCACCTTGTAATAGAATTTGCTCAACATTGTCCTGGAACACTACTCTAGTTCACTGGACAGGCCTCCAACAGCATTAGTGAAATGAACCTAGGGGTCATTTGAAAAGAACTTATGTTTCCTGCACCTTCCAATCATAATAGGGTTTCTAACAAAATCAGACATCAAAATCAAATTCATGTGTATGTTGCAAGCACTGATCACAAAATAAAGCATGTGAAATACAAGATATAGAAGTGAGGAAAATCAGGTGCTGAGTGACAAACATGACAACAGGGCACTGTTTCTTTAAAAAAAAACCCTAATAAACATATTGCCAAAATCCTGTTGCTCAGCATAGTAAATCACAACTTGAAAAGGCCCATTAAATCAGTGGGAGTTTGGTGAGTCGATACCTTCATAGGTTCCAATGATTCACATGAACCTGCTCTAGTTTCAAATGCATTTCAGATATAATCTAGTTTCACCCTGAGTCGCACATTACCAGTGCCATTCAGAATGCAACATAAACCAAATGAATCAAACACATTTCACAGGCTGGAGCAGGATTTACACCACCAGGCTAAGCATTTTAATTTTGTAAAATTGGCATGTAAGTTTGATTCACAGTCCTGGAGTATACTTCCTTCCCCCCGCCTCAATTTTAATGGATTTTCCCTTGCAGAACCTTTCAGATTTGTAACTATGAGCAAGGCAGAGAGAACATTAATAAAAATGTATGTGGGCTGTGGCAGTATTTGCAAATTGATAATGAGTGTATGAAGAGCAGGTTTTTATCAACAAATATCTTAATTTGTTTATTTAGGTAATAGAGCAGGCAGCAGAGAGTCTTAGGCAAGCTCGTTTTACTCCAAAAGTAATTAAAAATGAATGATCTAGTGGATCTCACAGCAGAATTTTTGCTACATTTGCTAAGCGCCTGTAGAAGGATATCAGAAAGTTCTTCCAAAAAAATTGCTGTAAGTGTACTCAGAATTATGTGCGTGTTGTTGATAGCTTCCCCTAGCTGGCCCAACCATTTTGTATTTATATTGCTCCTGGTTTTTACTTGTGATTATATCCCACTGAGAGAAACATAGTGGTTGCAAGCAAGAAAAACTTTCGTTGTTTAATCATTAAGTCATGTCCAACTCTTCATGACCCAATGGACCAGAGCAGTCCAGGCTCTCTTATCTTCCACTGCCTCCCAAAATTTGGTCAAATTCATGTTGGTTGCTTCGATGACACTGTCCAACCATCTCATCCTCTGTTGTCCCCTTCTCCTCTTGCCCTCACACTTTCCTAACATCAAGGCCTTTTCCAGGGAGTCTTCTCTTCTCATGAAATGGCCAAAGTATTGGAGCCTCAGCTTCAGGATCTGTCCTTCCAGTGAGCACTCAGGCTTGATTTCCTTTAGAATGGATAGGTTTGTTATCCTTGCAGTCCAGGGGACTCTCGAGAGTCTCCTCCAGCACCACAATTCAAAAGCATCAATTCCTTCTTAATTGTCCAGCTCTCACTTCCATACATCACTACAGGAAAAATCATAGCTTTGACTATGTGGACCTTTGTCGGCAAGGTGATGTCTCTGCTTTTTAAAATGTTGTCTGGGTATGGCATTGCTTTCCTCCCAAGAAGCAGGGGTCTTTTAATTTCATGGCTGCTGTCACCGTCTGCACTGATCATGAAGCCCAAGAACGTAAAATCTGTCACTGCCTCGATATCTTCTCCTTCAATTTGTCAGGAGGTGATGGGACCAGTGGCCATGATCTTAGGGTTTTTTTTTTATGTTGAGCTTCTGACCATTTTTTTCACTCTCCTCTTCCACCCTCATTAAGAGGTTCTTTAATTCCTCCTCACCTTCTGCCATCAGAGTGGTATCATCTGCAATCTTAATTGTGGTTTGGGATTCATCCACTCCAGCCTTTTGCATGATGTATTCTGCATGTAAGTTTAATAAGCAGGGAGACAATATACAGCCTTGTCGTACTCCTTTCCCAATTTTCAACCAATCAGTTGTTCCATATCCAGTTCTCGCTACCTGTCCCATATATTGATTTCTCAGGAGATGGATAAGGTGGTCAGGCACTCCCATTTCTTTAAGAACTTGCCATAGTTTGTTGTGGTCCACACTGTCAAAGGCTTTTGCATAGTCAATGAAGCAGAAGTACAGTGGTGCCTCGCTTAGCAACATTAATCCGTTCCAGGAAAAACATTGCTAAGCGATTTCATCGCTAAAGGGAATAAAAAAGCTTATAGAAATGCATTAAAACGTGTTTAATGCATTCCTTTGGGCTTAAAAACTGACCTTATGCGAAGATCCTCCATAGGGGCGGTGGCCATTTTCAGTACTTCTAAAGTGAGGCAAAACAGCGGGTGGCCATTTTGTTTTTCCGGCGGCCATTTTGGAACCGCCGATCAGCTGTGCAAAAAGGGTCGCTTTGGCATGATCGCTTCCCTGCGATCATCGCAAAGTGATTTTCCCCATAGGGGCCATCACTAAGCGATCGCTCTGGCGATGGCCAAAACCCCATTGCTAAGTGATTTAATCGCTCAATGGAGCGATCGCTAAGTGGGGGCCCACTGTAGATGTTTTTCTGGAGCTCTCTGGCTTTCTCCATAATCCAGCACATGTTAGCTATTTGGTCTCTAGTTCCTCTGCCCCTTCGAAATCCAGCTTGTACTTCTGGGAGTTCTCGGTCCACATACTACTGAAGCCTGCCTTGTAGGATTTTGAGCATAACCTTGCTAACGTGTGAAATGTGTGCAAATGTACGGTAGTTGGAGCATTCTTTGGCACTGCCCTTCTTTGGGATTGGGATGTAGACTGATATTTTC